TCCACCAACCCAAAGTTTTGCTTCCCCAGTTGACTGTCATGTCCGAGACCATTGTGAATCGGTCGAAGAGTAGCCTGATTTCTTCCATGTTCGCTGCACTTGCTTCCATCGTAAGGGTCAGGGCGTCCACAAACAATGAAACGGGAATCCCGTCCTCCGGGATGGCCGAAATCTACAACCTCTTCAGGTCTTTGTTCGCACGGAGGTTTGCTGCCAGCGCCTCCATTACCATTATAAAGAGGAAAGGTGTCAACGGGTCCCCTTGGCAAACCGATCGTTGCAGCAGGAAGGCTGGCGCAATCCTACCATTAACTCGGACGCACGTGGTGGCATTGTGATGGAGTATTTCGGTCCAGCGCCGGAAGGCCGGACCGATGTTCGTTCTCTCCATACATTTGTCCAAAAACAACCAGTCCACATGGTCAGACACTTTCTCGAAGTCAATGAAAACTATGGCCGCGTTCCACTTATCTTGTCTGGCTAGTTAAAAAAGTTCATTAAAAAAAGATCCACATTTCGTACCCCCAGGGATGTCGAGGATCCCCGCTCAGGGGTCTGGGACTCTGGGGGTTGTTCGTCAACCTTGGATGACCCCCCAGGGCTCCCCCATGACAACACTGGAAATAGATTGTCGTAGAAGTCTTGAGTGGAGGGTCAAATCTTAGCTAGATAAAGGTTTTAAGTGGAAGGAAACCTAGCTGGGTAAAGGTTAACGGGTTGTCGCGGAAGTCTTGAGTGCAATTGAGCTATCGGGTCACCGAGGAAGTCTTGAGTGAAAAGACAACTGCTAGTTAGAGTAGAGGATAGCGTAAAGTCTAGTTATACTTAAGCCACCGTAGAAGTTGCAAGATGTGTGGGTGGCAACTAGAGTATTAGGTTAGGTGAAAATTATACATGTTAGGGTACCATGAAAATTGAGAGGTAGAATGCCTCTTGAAATGGGTCGGAACTCGTTCATATTACCTGCGAGATTCGCCGGGGAAGGTAAAACATAGAAAGGGGAATCTCACACTGTCAAATATGCTTTTTCTCTGGCATGGCAACGGGCACTGTCAATAAAACAAACTCTCTGCTCACGGCGCACCATAAACCATGCCCAAATAGCCAAACACAGGCTTTCTGGAAAAAACAGAAACCACATTACTGATAATAACAAATCCAGGAAGAATTAAAATATAACATTATTTTGGCTCACCGGCGAAAGGGAAGACAGCTCTATCGTCAGGTATGTCAGGGGTGTATTTCAATAGTTTAGTTGCATAGAGGCTCCAACAAGTATTGTAGCCGGGCTGCGTAGTTCACAGTTAGATCGTAAGTTGGCTTCTTCATTCCCAGCCTAGTATGAATTTACTATTATTTAATTTATTTTAGGATTTCAGTTCTCTAAAGGAAGTGCTGCCCGAATTTCTAGTATATCAGCAACTTAGTCATCTTTTGGGTTTACTTCTATTTTGACATTTTCTCCTTGGATTCAGTCTAGCACACACTCTGGAAGGCTACTTCCCTAGAAGAAGTCATGCCGGCATTTTACCACCCTCCAGTAGATTTGAAGTTGTACTTGAACTTCAGACGGGAGGTTGTGCCGATAGCAAGGTTGTTGGGATTGTGTGATTGTGTGATTGCGTGTGGTCACTATATCTCACTCGGTCCAGTTGATGTAGCTCAGTGGTTAGAGCACCGGTTGGAAATGCGGATTGTGGTATAAGGTTGCGGGTTCAAAACCCCGCAACCTTGCGCATGGACACCGGCCGGGCATTAGTTTGACGCACGGGTGGACACACATCCCCTTGGGCTGACGCATGGTACTATTACAGACACTGCCTGCGCACCACCCAAGTGTAGTCCATGGTGCTCTATGTTGGTTGTGGGTTTCACAGGGTTTGCTTGGGTGGTTCATCTCGGGTGTTCTGATGTTCTCCCCAGTCTGGCATATCACACGATCATTCCATTTCCGGTAGTTGCTCATACAGTAGAGTCTTGGATTACATGTTACAAGGTCACGGGTTCAAGCTTGAATGTCCTTGGGGAGGGGGGTTCCTTGTCCAGCTGGCCCCATTCTCTCCTCGATACATGATTCAAAGAGTACACATAGCTTTCGGGCATACACCCATAGCTTGCTAATTATATATACATACACAAGTTTCCACACATGATACTGTCTACACATTCACAGAATATACACACACAAAAAAACAGGCTGGGGAGCTAGTCACTGGTGGGGTCTGGTGCCTGCAGCAGGTTCAGGTGGTTGGATAGGGTGCCATTGGGTGCAGTTCATACTGACATTCGGATAGAACTGTCTGGTGAGGGTGCCATTGGGTGCAGTTCCTCCTGACATTCGGATAGAACTGTCTGGTGGCTATATATGGGGCCTGTAGTTCATTGTCTGGGCCTGGCGTCCGAAGTTCCCGTTCAACAAGGTTCGTCCGATTCCGCTTCCACCAGGGCTGGGCAATCTATCAGCCCTGGTGCCTATAACTGCAGTGCTGTTCGGTCCAAGTTGCCTGCCCGTTGGTAGGGCAATGGTGCTGAGTGCTGGTCACAACGAGGTAGAATAGTGGGATAGGGGGTGCGCTACTAGTAGGAGTATTGACATGAGGATGGGTTCGGAGGTGGTCTCATATTCCAGGACACCCGCAGCTCACCGTTCCAGGTGATCACTGTCACACACTGACTGCCCTCTACAACACCCTGGACTCTTAAAAAAAAAAAAAAAAGAAAGAAAAAAAAAATTCTCACTCGCGGGGCTTCATCATGCTCTTCAAGCGTTCAATGATAGGCTTCAAAAGTAAGAAACCAGGCTCGACGGTTTTGTAAGTAGCAGCAAGCTGGGCATGCCTGACTTCGCACCTTACATATCTTCTTCATCAGGGACACAACAGCCCATGTATTATCATGTGTACAAGCTCTTTTCCTGTCCAACCCTGTCATGATAGGTGCGCTGCGTTCTGGGAAAGGCGGTAGGGACCTGCGCATGCCCGGACTCGCACCTTATCTACTTTCTTCCCCCAAACATAACAGCCCACCAATTATCATGAGCATCTGAAGCTCTGCTCCTGTGTAACACGGTCATGAAAGGTGTTTTGCCTGCTGGGGAAGATGGTAGGGTAGTGTCAAATGGGCAGCTGATGTCCAACAGGAGCTTAAACCGTCAGGACCTACCTCATTTTTCTTACCCCCACGGGTCGAAGGAATATGGACCCGAGGTGCAGACCGATTCGGCTACCTCGTTACCGGGCCTCATTTTTCGTACCCACACGGGTCGAAGGAATATGGACCCAAGGTGCAGACCGATTCGGCTACCGCATTAGCAGGCGCACCAAGAAAGGTGAATGAATATGGACCCGAGGGGCAGACCGATTCGGCTACCGCTTCAACGGCTGCACCAAGAAAGGTGTTTGCCTCCTGGGGAAGATAGTAGGGCAGTGTCAAATGGGGAGCTGATATCCCACCCCGGCCCAACAGGACCTTAAACCACCAGTACTTGGCCCAGCTATCGGCCGCGGCGCTTTCCCCTTAACGCGCCGCGCCTTCAGGACTTCGGGGTACCTCACCACAATGGCTGGAAGCGGCACCCAAAATTTTTTTGAAACGGTACCCCGGCGCTTCGGCGAAAATCGGCGCGCAGGGGCATTCCAGGCTCGGCATCGATAGCTGGGCCAAGTTCTGGTGGTTTAAGACTGCCAGTACCTACCGCATTTTCGTACCCCCCTTCCGCATTTTCATCCTCCCCCGGGTCGAATGAATGTGGACCCGAGGGCCAGACCGCATTTCATACCCCCCTACTGCATTTTCATCCATCCCCCNTCCCTGGATCGAATGAATATGGACCTGAGGGGCGGACCAATTCCACCGATTCCCGCTACTGCGTCAACTGCCGCAGCAACTGGTAGGTCCTAGTGGTTTAAATGGGGATAATCCAGTACCAGAAGACCGCCAGGCAAGGCCCCATTGACACAACCCAATACAACAGCTATCCGTTTGGGGGTCGCGATTAACCCAATGCAACAGCTATCCATTTGGGAGTGTCGCGATTAAGGCTGTCCTGTTTGTAACCCACTTTGAGGCGACCAGTTCCGAAAGCCAAAAGCAGTGTCTGCTGAGGAATCGGGGTCGGCGTGAGGAGCCGCAATTTGAGATGGGCGACAAGCTCTTCTAGTCATCATTCGCAGTTCACGGGCATGCATAGGTTCGATCCGCTTATAGATTCAAACCCGGATCGAGTAATTATGAGAACAAAGAGAAGGCTGGGTTGGGATGTAAGTTGCAGAATATGCAATAGAGGAGATGATATCAAGTGGAAACATGGCGGCCAAAAGAAGACGAGACACTATCGACTGTACTTGAACAGTATCTATCAGCTATCTTTATTTGCTTAATTATTGAAACAAAAAAGATAGGTGAAGGACAGGGTGTGGATGGGGGTATATTTATTAAATTTTATTTGCTTACTTGTTAAAATGAAAAAGATATGTGAAGGACAGGATGGGGATGGGGGTATGATTGACAATCTATATGCTCCTCGCTCCACCAGTGGCCACATGCACAAAATAAAAACTATGACGGTGTGCCAGTTTGCACATTTCTGGTGTGTGGTGGGGTCAGGGGGTCAGGCCCTCCCTCTCTCTATATTTCCATCATCAGTTAACAACTACCTACTGGTACAATATGCCTTTTGAGGATATCAAAATGCTGAAGGGGGTAAAGAAAAGAGAAGCAATGATTCGAATCATTCGATTATCAAACAGGTGAAAGAAACAGCAAATGATTTCATCATTGCATGTCCATCAAAGTCTGACAAGCCATTACAGTCGGTCGTGTGAGCAAATTTCAGATACGCATCGCCAAAAGCCAAGTTCACCGTAGTAAATATCTCACCCACATTATTCTTCACCGCCCTCGACTGTTACATCTTCATACCCTATTATTAACCTCCAACAAAGGGTTTATGGAAAACAGGGGAATACAATCATGTACCAGTTCTCTCTATTGCTCACCCTATCTCCTGGTAAGATTCTTATATAATTTTTTCTAATTTTACCAGATATATGAGTAAGTACTTCACAACCATTGTCTAAACAAACACGAAACATGGAAACACAACAAGATCCCAATCACAGGCACTGAAAAGTGCATGCTGCACATCTGTCCAGTCGCAGTTTCTTTGGCATCACATCCGAGTCAAGAAAGGACCATAGGCACCAACTTTGGCCGAGTTCAGTTGGCACACCCCTTTTAACTGTTGAAAAATACAGACCTGTCAGACCCGAGTTCAAACTCCACTGGAAGCAGACGAGCGAAGTACTAAATTTCTGAAAAACACAAAACAGAAAGGACCATAGAACCACAGAAAACATGCTACACGCGGCCCACCGATCCGACACGAACGGTATGTATGTCCACGCCTCTTCTTCTTTTTTCCGTTGCCCTGGGATGATCGTCACAGTCCTCTACAGTAGCTCCCTTTTTGCTTTTTATAGATGGAACATTCCGAATAATACATGGCTCCTGCGAAAGGCAAAAGCTTTGACGTTTCTGCAGATACACAAACTTCCCGCATCGGCCCCTCCCCTCCTCTTTACTACGGCTCACCTGTCGCTCTGGCTCTCGCCTCACCACACAGCCCCTGGCGCTGAGGTGAGCAAACTGAGTCACACTCGCAGTGAGTCGTACGAGCGCGCGCCCTGATAATCGCAAAAGCTTCGGTTTTTCGCAGATACACAATCTTCCTCTGCATCATTTCTTCTTTGCTCTGGCTCACCTCACCGCAGCCCCTGGCCCGGAGGTCACCACACACTCACAACGAACTGGCCATCACAGCTTACAAAGTGCGCGTCCTTCCGCGGGTAGAGACATGGAGAACAAACAGCAAGAGAATCTTTCGGAAGGAAAGCAGCGATGTGACTCCTCACCACCCCCCCTCCCATAAACAGGCAGACAGCACATGACACTTCCCCAGAAAAGGTGCGCACAGCATTGCCAGAATCAGCTGTCCCTATGCGCATAACTTCGCGCAAATAGGAAACTGAGGCAAGACTTCAGTTTTACACCGACTGCCAGCACACGGCCCCAGCCTTGCAGAAAGCTTTTTGTCGCCACAAGCAAAACTCCGAGGGGCCCCGAGGCACCGGGCGGGCACCGTTGAAAATGAACACCTGCAGCCTCCGACGTTGTGCAGGTTCCACGCTGACACCTGCGGGCGTATGTATGGTGTACTGGTGCTTCAACACTTCGAATGTAGACAAAATGTGCAGAGACTGTTATGTATGTTCACCACAAACATACATACATACATATGGTGCATATCGCCTATAGAATTACATAGGTGCACCATGTGACTAGTACGTCAAGCCCCAGTTCATCACGAACATCCATACGAAAGTGGTGTTCGAGCATATGGATCACGCAACAACTTCCGTTCTACAAATACGATTCCTGAAGACAAGAGAGACGAGACCAGTGAGGCAATTACACAGGAAGACTGGAACACAGTTCACCCCACAACAGATTACTCGTTTTTTTTTCAGACACAAACTGGTACATTCAGAACAGCCGGGCCCACTTCATTAAGCCCAACCCCTCTCTCTCTCTCTATACCACCAACACATCTCTTTCACCTTCGGCAGTTAGCCAAAAGACGAGCCAAAATCGTCACCGTAGCATCTCGTGGACACGAGACCAGCGACCGAGAGGGATATGTTCACCATAACATGTTCGAAATTTATTCACATCGACAGACAAGAGGAAACGTGTGACAACCAAAGAGAACCCGAATCACTTCCAGACATCACACCATGTATTTCAATTCCAAGGGCTCTCGCCAGACGATAACCGCTCTAATGGGCAAACAACAAAGGACAAAAAATGAAAGTCTCTTGCCAGTCGTAATGGCAAAACAACAAACAACTAAGTAAAAATAGAGCTCAAGACCACATGGACAAAACCCCACCCATCACGCAGATGCACGAAGAACAACAGTACTGTCGATCCACCGCGGAACATCCTCCTTGGACACCGTGGAATCGAATGGACACCCTTCTAGAGTTTCCTCAAAAAAAAACAAACCATCAGAGAAATCGAACAGTTGCCATTCCTCCTCTCCCCCTCTTTCTCCGACCTGTCGTTCCGAGGCATCACCCCTTTTCCAATACACACAATCCTGCAATTCGGTCTCATCAATTTAACACGCCACAGATCACAACCCACATCGAACACACCATTGTAGACTCTACGAAGAGGAGACATCCATCACTTACCGCCAGGACCAGAAGCGGTGCCTTCACTCACTGTTACTCTCTCTATCTCTCGAGTCCGCTCGCCGGCAGACAGCAAAAACACCACACAAGGTCAACCATACCGTTGCCACTCCTGCCGACTTTATCTACAGCAAATCTGCAACGTTGCTCGGCAGCTCATCGATCTGCGTGTTATAGAACTTCTGGATATCCTGCAACAGGCGGGTGTCGTCCTGGGTGACGAAGTTGATGGCAACTCCCTTTCTTCCAAATCGCCCGCTCCTACCGATACGATGCAAGTAGTTCTCCGGTTGCGTGGGCAGGTCATAGTTAATGACGAGGGACACTTGCTGCACGTCAATACCACGAGCCAAGAGGTCGGTGGTAATCAACACACGAGAGGAACCCGATCTGAATTCCCTCATGATGACGTCACGAGTATTCTGATCCATATCTCCGTGGGTAGCAGAGACCGTGAAGTCGCGAGAGCGCATCTTGTCCGTCAACCAGTCGACCTTCCTTCTCGTGTTGATGAAGATGACACTCTGCGTGATGGCCAGTGTCTCGTACAGATCGCAGAGAGTGTCCAGCTTCCAGTCTTCCTTGTCCACGTTCACGTAGAACTGCTTGATACCCTCGAGGGTCAGCTCGTCTCTCTTCACCAGAATCCTCACGGGCTTGCTCATGAACTTCCTCGTGATCTCCAGAGCATCAGGAGGCATGGTAGCCGAGAACAAACCGACTTGGAGCTTGCCCGGCAGAAGCTGGAAGATGTCGTAAATCTGCACACACAAGGCGAAATGAAGAGCGCAAACGAATGTCGCATCAGGTCGAGGTCTGTAGTACTCAATACCTAACCCTGCTCTTGCCAATTACACAAAGAACCTGATAATCAACAGAGATAAACGACTAGGCGTCGATCAGACACAAATAACGCAACCACAACTACTCGATGCCAGTCTGTTCGGACGTAAAAGCAAACGAACCCTCGCACCATAACACAGAAACTCAATCCATTTCAACTAAAACAGAAGGGACATCAAAAGTACAAAAGACAGTCCTTGAAACATCATGATACAATCACACCTTCTTCGGGGAGGGAATTCCATAGGATCGAGAGGGTCATACCTGGTCTTTAAATCCTCGGGAGAGCATTTCGTCGGCTTCGTCGAGAACGAAGATCTTGATGTAGTCCGGCTTCAGCGCTCCTCGGCGAAGCATATCGTAGACACGTCCTGGTGTTCCAACGACAACATGTACGCCACTCTGCAGGATCCTCTGGTCCTCCCTCACACTGGTACCTCCGACACAGGCGTGCACCTTCACTTGGAGGTAGTCTCCAAGAGCCCTCATGACCTTCTCGATCTGCTGAGCCAATTCTCGGGTAGGGGCAAGGACGAGAGCTTGGCATGCCAAGGCATCGTATTCCAGCTGCTGCAGGACTCCAGAGCAGAAGGTCGCTGTCTTTCCCGTACCTGACTGCGCCTGCTGAATGACATCCAGTCCTTTGCAGAACGGAACTATGCCCCTCTGCTGGATGGTCGACGGTTTCTCGAAACCTGTTGCCGAAAGAAAACCGAAAGGGACGACCCGTCATTACAGCCGCGTCATCTCTCAAGCAGAACTCCCTCCACACAAATTGCACGTCTTTCCTTATACATAGCACAAGTCACACAGGCATTGCCATCATTATCCTATCATTATAGCACAAGTTACAGAGGCACGGTAGTTGTTATCCTATTATTATAGCACAAGGGACACAGGCATTGCAGCTATCCATTTCACGAGTGTCGAAGAGGCAACGCACATACATTGAACTCTTAATAGTGGGTAGAACGCAAAGTAAGATACGCGATTGATTACATAATCGAGCAAAGAAGGAAAGGACTGATAATGTCGCAACGAGTCGCAGGTTTCCTGACTTCCAATGAATCCAGAAGTAATCCGGAAGTTAACCCGAGCTTAAGTTGAGCTCTGACCGGTTATAACCCAGTGTCCTGCTGCCTCAGCTATCTGTCCATACCTCTTATCGTTGACTGTCATTAAACCACCAGTACTTGGCCCAGCTATCGCCCGCGGTAAAAAATAGAGTAGAAACGTTTCTAGTTGGATGAATTTGGGCGCTCCTGTAGTGGCCCGTACGTTTCCTAAAACCGTGGCGCGTTAACGAGCACGACTTTAGGAAGTACCGGTGGTTTAAAATAGGCAGGAACAGTAAAATGACAAACTCCCGTTATATTACATTGGCAAAATTCGATGCAATCTTCTTCTTCGCCTTCACAGCAGCATTGTAGAGATTTTTTCCTGTTGATTGAAGTGCCTTCCACGCTTTTTTTTATAGCTTGGCGTATACCGGTAAAGGTTGTAAGAGCTGTACCACTCGGCTTCGGTTCAACTGCTGTGGGAAGACCTTTTCGATTCAACCACCACTTCATCCGGACCTATTTTGACAAACCAGAAAAGTTGCATTTCCCCACCGGGCCTAAAATCCACAGTGCCCAGTGCCTCCGTTTAGGAAAAATAATTGTGGTCCCTTTCCCACCGAACCTCTACCAGGCCGTGGCACTGTAGATTTTGGCCTGGTGCTCGTAGACGAGAAAAATGAACAGTGCAGGTGCCGTTGAAAGTTGTGGTTTAAGGACTGGGCGGGTGTGAGGGCGGGAAAGGCGACCGACTATGAGAAAGTAAACCATTGGAGGGCTTGCGCGTAGGGTTTTTTTCCTCCGACCAAAACCATGTCAAAATGCATTTTGAATTCTCGATCGAGGTCGGGGAACCTTACAACCAACCTGCTGCCTGAACCGCTATAATCATGGTTGCTGGGTGAAATAAGCTCGGGTCAATTCACCACTAGTTTCCTAATGGCATCGGACTATGTCTTCAACCAGAGAGATAGAATGGTTGCTAGGCATATAGCCTCAGAGAGATAGAATGGTTGCTGGGCATATAGCCTCTGCTCTGAGGATCCTACTCGTTGTAATCAACGATTCCAAATTCAACGTCATGACAATTGAATTGTTACAAATTTGGAAGAATCAATCAGCCAGCGTAAGCTTTTACATAGGGATAACCCTGAAGCCTGTGGCCAAGAACAAAACGCAGCTCTCGGCTTCCAGGGAGTCCTATTTACTACGAACAGCCGCCTAATTGCTCTCGCGCATGTTAGGGGAGCTGCTACGTAGGTTTGACAACTTAGGGCCTCGCTGCACTACTGTCGACATGCACAAAAGACAATAAAAAATAAAAAATGGTGTATCTTTCCATATTCTAGCGGAAGATTCACTCTCGTTTTGCACATTTCGAGAGTGGTGCAGCGAGGCCCTTAGGCTCGTGTGAACTGTTGTTATAAAGCGGATCCACCGATGCCTTACGAGGGAAATCTGTCTACGCTACTCTCTGATTTCATATGATGATGCAAATTTGGCTAGGCCTTGGAATCAAAATAAACGCATCATTAAAAAAAAAAAAACACATCATTAATAGATAGAAAAAAAAAAAAAGTAGCCCATCGTAGATTTCGTCGTCTCCTTCACCTTGTACGACGACAAAGGCAACTCATCGCGGAAGTACTCGAACGCAGGCACACGAGGTCACAAAACAAAGCCGCTGAAACACAGATCAAAACAAAGCCGGTAAAACACAGATCCGGTTCATTCAAAAAGTCCCGGGGTTTTCTTGGACCTACCGTACGCATAAATGCCTCTCAGCAGGTTTTCCTTGAGCCCCATTACGTCGAAGGTCTCGTGCACCTCCTCCCACGTAGAGATGAAGTCCGCACCTCCATCCTCCTTCAACCTGCCATGAACGACCGACATTAAGACACACAGATCAGACGACACCAGACAGACACACCCAGGAGTATACTCGACACAGAGCCTAGGCCGCTAAGAAAACCCATTTCCATACGTACCCTACCAGAAAACGTTCCGAACAGAACGGGAACAGAAAATCTCGATTAAGTGCAGCATCCCATCCGCGCGAAATCATGACGATGGCAAGGAACGCTTCATTCCACGAAAGATTCACTTTCCCCAAACCACGTCATTCCACGAGGATTCAATTACCAAAAGAAGGTCATCTCATTGACCGAAGCAAATTGTTATTTAATCCAGGCATGAAAAGTCTTCCCTTGAAATAATATGCACCTTGCACCTGAGACGCCTGGCCTGCGCCTGCAACACCTTGGAACAGTACACATGGCATCTCGCCGCCGAGCCAAGCACGCACGCACCAGCTACAAACGGGGGCCGGACTAATCACTCCCCCTCCCTGGAAAAACCTAAGCAGCCGACGACCTATGAAGCGTTTCGAATCAACAAGAGCACTCACTGCCAACAACTACTATCCAAAAGGAGCGACACGCTGTAACACGACACGTGCTCGATGCGAAGTGACGTCTCGCCTTTTTCTCACGTATTAGAGGAACAGAGTCAACCATCTCGCCCCAACGATGCCACACCGAAATCCACTTACGCTCGGGCATTTTGTACTGAATCTGTCCCGGATTGTGATCGGACTGACTCGAGAACGTCCGCAAAGCAGCACGTGAACGCAGGAAGACGCAATCCACATCGCTGGTCTGTGTTCAAGTGACGTCCACGGGGATGCGCCGGAACGATACAACAGTCGAGCCGTCATAACAAAAAGAATATACCCGATTAGACATCGATTTTCAGCCGACGACAAGCACAACAGGAAAGCGATCGGGTAACAAAGGCTGCAAGATTGTCTGAGTAAACAAGACCCGCGCGAAACCGAAAAGCGCGAAGTCGGAACACGGGGAATACCGACATCATTGGAGACTCAGGCATTCCCTCAGGACTTAAGTCTCCCAACAGATAGG